TCAGGCCGTCCCACTAAGGGGAAGGGCTAAGCATGAATTAAACCTATTCGGGAGCATGTGGTCAGCATGTAGCAAAAACCGGCACCCTTCCCCCCAAAACGGTTCCATGCTCAGATGCTCAGTGGCCAGGGGAGAAAAAAAAGAAGAGGGCATCCATTTTTGGTTGCTTGAGTTGAAAGGGGAACCCTTCCCCCCAACAAAAAGGGGGGAGAAAGGGCACCACTGGGTGTCTGCCGGGCCGCCAAGCCAGTCGCTTCAGCTCCTCCGGCACCGGCGGGGCCTCTGTGACGTGGCCTGAAGCTTGGGCTTCGAATTGGAAACCGTGGGATGAGCCCAAGAAACGCAAGTGTGATCCCTACCTGTATTAAGTCATATATATATATGCATTAATGCGCTTGTTTGTTTGTTGGTTTGTTTGTTTGTGTGTCTGTGTGTTTGTTTGTTTGCAGTTTTCGCCGGTGTTTTTGAGTTCTCTTATTTGGCAGGATTGACAAAGAAGCATAATTCCATGGGCACGCATCACACACACAGAGACACATCTTCACAAAGCAGGATCAAAGCCGATTTTGTGGCTGGCAACTTGCGTAGGTCATGCCCGCAAAGCAGGAATGCCCGCAAGGTGGCATTCCAAGAAATGGTAGGGACCACACTGCAATAAGTTATTAAGGCAATTGCATGCTGCAGCCCTGGAAGCAGTGCTTTCCCGCCTGGCATCGGTGCAGGCCATCTGTTCGGGAAGTCCTGCCGAATGCCAAGCTCGGCAGCGCTGTCTATTGGAGATGGCACGGAACGCAGAATTGCAATACTAAAAACAGTGATCTGCGTCGTGCCTTTGCATCCAGTAAGCTATTTGCTTCAAAGAGACTGACCCTTCTGTGAAAGGCTTGGCTCAGACCCGCTCATCCTTCTCCGAGTTCGTATTCAGGTACCAGTTATCCGCGGGGTCAAATTCGACCCGGTAGGCCAAGCGCGGCGAGGAGAGCAGCAAACACCTGAAATGCCATGGCAAGTACAACGTGCGATTGTCAACCCAACTGGGAAATTAATCGCATACTTCAAACCATGCTGGAGCTTGCATAGCTTTAGGCACGTGGTGGCGTGGCTGGCATTTGCACAGGTGCTCGGAGAAGTGTTGTGGTGCTCCGCGTTGTTTGGTTTTGCCATGCGCCATGCGTGTCAGTGATTTCCTCACTTCAACTTTGCATAACTTAGAAAACTGTTTGAGCATGTTCCCTCCACTTTTGGCTCTTTCCTCACTTCCATGGCCTCATGCATGTCATGAGGTGCGGAAAGACCCCACCTCTTTTCGAGGTAGTACTCAGCAATACCGGATTCGGAAAGCAATTCATTCGATCATCCAACCCCTTTCATCAAAGGCAGAAGCAACTACAAGAACTGCGGCACTCTCCCAACTAAGGAAAAAACGGGAATCGAACCGGTTTTGTACCCTTCTGGCAACCCCGTATACAAATATAAACTGCCGTGCACACATTGCCAAACATGCACATGCCTCTCGTGACCCTCCTGTCCTTCAAAGGCCCAAACTGCCTCAATTTGGCTTAATCATGTTTGAAAACTTGGTTGGCTTGTGGGGGTGTCCGTTTCTATGTGATTCTGCGGAAACATTTTTCCTACCGGGTGTCAACAGACAATGGGCCGAGGGTCCATGAAAAATAGCGAAACCTTGGATTGAATGGCAACTCGGAGGAGGTCTTGTGTGTCTTCGCATTTGAATTTCCCAGCTCCCACTACATCCCAAAACAAAGTGGTATACCTGGTAGACCCCACGGTGCATACAAGTACCCAGTTGCCAAAACCAGCAAGCATAGGCATGCTCACCAACATTGCGGGCCATAACCAAAAGGAAACCAATTCAACTAGAACCGAGTCGTCGCTTTGTGTTTGCTAACATTCCAACAAGTTGGAATACAAACTGAGGAGCAAGCGAAGAGCCAGCTGCTGGACAACTGTAACTGTAACTGGAAGCGTTAGGTGGGTGGCGGGGAAGCCCTACGGTTTCTTTCCCTCTTTCAGTTCCTACACTTTTAGGGCTAGTAGGCAGTCCCTGTACATAGTGGAGTAGTTCTCAAACATAAGGTAGCCATTTTCAAACGGAGCTGTCATGGGTTTCCGTTTTGGGTCAGTAACCAGCAACTTCACAAAATGGCTCATTTGCTTTCTCATCGTCTGCTCTTTTGTTTTCTCCTGGATGGGCATCCATAACTATTTCGGACATCGTTTTAACATCGAACATAACTTTCATTGCCGGACCATCTCCGCCTCAACGCCACCAATTACACGTCTTCTCTTTGTTGCTGTTGACCCCTCTGCAAAAAGTTTAACTTTTTGTGGGTTTGGTGGAAAACCCCTTGATTTCCCAAAAAGTTAGAGTCTAAAGATCCAACCCAATAGTCCAGTTCTCTGGCCCAGTTCCTTGTCAACCCGACTGTTACCCCAGCGGCAGGTCCCCGCTGGCCAGCTGCTGCGGCAGTCCCGGCTCCAGCTGCTGGCCGTTGAGCTGCAGCTCCCCGCGCGGCGACAGGCGCTCCAGGAACCAGCCGTGGCCTTCCTGACGCGGCGTTGGCCGAGGAAAAATCCGCCTTGGTTTAGACTTGTTTGGAGGTTCGGGCTGACAAACAAATGGGATTTGCCACTAAAACGCAAGAGAACTCAAAAAGGAGCAATCGGACCTCTTTTGGATGCTGGGGGGGGCCTTCTCAAAATGGCGGACCCTGGTGGATAAACTTTCAAAATGGTTCAAAGGGGAAGCAAAAGGAACACCCCCCAATGCTTTGTTTGGTCTCCTAGTTGGAGAAACAGTCAAACAAAAGGAAGAACAAAACGCACAAACAGTTGTGTAGATATCCTAGCTATATCGGTGATACATGGTGGACATATGCAGAGACAAGGTTGGTTCAAGCCCTTCGTCCAATCTCGGGTCGCGAGGAACCACCCCAACGTACTCCATAAGCAAACAGCTGTTCACAGGTCAAACTTGCCCAGGCAGTCAGCCCTCACTTGAATATCTAAAACACGAAGGACTGTAAACACATTAAGCAGAGCAATGAAAGAGACCAGCCAGGGGGTCCACGCACAAAGGCAGTTGACTCCTGCCAAATGAAGCAAGCTCAAATTCCTGAAGCCTGGCAGTTGCGTCGAAAGCCCAGCAGAAAGAGCCACAACTTGCAATCAATCAATGTTTATTGTGCATTCCCGTCAAAACATTCCAGAACCACTGCTGTTAAAAGCAGGCACCGGCTTACCTCGGTTCGGGTCCTTGAAGAACACACACTGCCGGCGTGGAACCTGGGGATCATCCACCTGCGCTTGGCACTGCTCGTGTGTTTCAAAGCACTCCTTTTTCTGGTGTCTCTGAGATTTGCGGCACAACGAGCAACAACATTATTGACATTCCATGCGGCGCACCCGTATGTGCGCATCTTCGTGCGTGCCCACAAGGATGCGCGGGGGTGGGAGGTTCTTGTTCTTGTCATGGCCCTCCTCAAACCTTGGTTACTCCCGGCAGGTGACAGTACCAAACTCCAGCACAGACCAGGACTATGCTTGACAGGCAAACCACCGATTCTGCGCAAGCGAGCGCACCCAACAAGACGCATTGAGCAGCAAGGACGGCGAGAGCGTCAATACCATCACCCCCGCACATGCTTGGTGTGCTGCTCTTGGCGAGCTGCTCACCAAATAAAAGAAGCCAAGCAGCACATACTCCGGCAGGCCAAGGAGAGTTGGTCGAAGCCAACTTCCCTGCATATGCGGCAGCGGACATGCGGGCAGCCCACTGACGGCTTCGATTTCAAGTTCTGTCAGAAAACCAAATCTATGCCATGTTGGTGAGGGGTACACACATGCACCCTGGATGCATGGTCATTGCTACCAGGTAGCAGCACCTGGAAAATCTTTGTTTGTGGCTCGGCCAATTGAAAGCTTCAGCGCCTCTTTGCAAGCTTGGGCTACACATTCACACACACACACACGCCTCAAAATACATAGCATAGGCTGATGTAGGGTTCGGGATCCCTCTAGACTCTAGTACTTTCTGTAGGATACTGTAGGTTGCTTTGATGCCTCCATTGAAAGGGCAATTTCAAAGGAAACCTTCTTCCAAACTTCCTCCTATTTGCGCTCACACCTGCGGCAGCACACCCACACAGCAACACACTCGCACGGATTAACACACCGACACAAACAAACACACACACACAGACAATCGCGCAAGCACGCAAAGACAAGAAATACACCACATACAACACATGCACAAACACACAAACAAACAAACACACAAACAAACAAACAAACAAGCAAGCAAGCAAACAGGCAAGCAAACAAGCAAGCAACTAAACAAAAGACAAACACACGCACAAACAAGCTCACACTCACACTCACACAAACACAGACACAAGCATACCCAACACACACAAACACATACACGCACACACTTGTCTATGCTCCTTTGTCAGGTGGTTAAAAACGGCCGGTCAAGAGGCATGCTCAACAAATGTGACGCAACAAAGACCATACACCTAGCGCGCCTCAATGGCAGGGTAGCCAGGATTTCCAATCCAGGCTGCATCGTCCCCGGCACCGTCCAAAGGGCACAAGCGCATGCTGCCGCGAAAGCGGAACCAAACCGCGAATACTGCCAGGATGCTTGGGAGGGCCTTGCTTGTAAGTCCATGCTACTGTCTCAGGCACTCGTGTTGAACGACAACATGTTGGTAGGGCCCCTCCACTTCAGCGCTCAGCAGCTGCGAATGAATGCTACATCATGCTAGGTGCCATCGCCCAAGAATTGAATCATGCAACAGTCGCCGCGTGGCTGAGGCAAATAGCAAATGTGCCACCCAAAGTGACAAGCAGCAACGCCAAATTGAGACGGTAAAGCAACCCGGGCTGACTGGGAGTATTTCCGGAAAAATCAGGCTAATGCAGGCCAGGAGTTGGTAGTAATTTTAACGAAATGCCAGTCTCTCTGTGCGCCGCACTGCACGCACGTCTGGAAGCGGTTGAGTGCTGTCCTCACAAAGCGAGTTGCACGAGCTCCCGGAGTCAAGGACAATGCAAAAGCAACCGAAACGAAAAAGGTTGAGCGCTTGCTGGCTCTGGGGCGCGCCACTTGCCAAATGCGTTTTGCCCTGTTCACCGTTCATCGCATCGGTGATGTTGGTTGCGAAGCACAGGGTCCAGCATAATGAATCATAACCACCACGCAAATACCAGTGAACAACCAATTTTCCGGCTACCCTTTTGCAGCTTCGAAGTCTGAAGCGGTGGTAAGCATCGTTCTGGGAGCTGTTTTCTGCGTTGATGTCTCAGCATGCCGTGTTCCCCTCAGCCTGCTCTACAATGTGCTGACGTGTGATTCTGGTGTCACTCAACGGCCTAGATCAAGCAATACGTGGTAATGCCACAAGAGCTCTGAGCTGCTTCTTGGAATTGCATTGCTTGGCGATGGAGTGCCGTGCCCCCCCGCCCCAAACAAAAAGATTCAGATGCAGCTGCCGAGACCTGCATAAACTTGAGCTTGACACCTCGTGCCGCGTGCCGTGCGCCGGCCTCAACTTGCAGAATGCCACATTGCCATGCAGTTTGTTTTCGACCTGGCCTACCTGTATCACTCTATGCCCCTTCAGCTCTCATATTGAATCTGCGATTGTTTGTAGATATTGGGGGATGAGTGCTGACACAGCAGCATCAGATGTGGCCGTGAGACGAACTCCAACAAAAAAAAGAAATACAAGATGCCGGTCTCGCCCTCAAGATGCAACTGAAGAAACAACCCCATGCAGAATAAGGTTTCGCCATTTGAACATCTTGACGGCCGTGTCCGAGCCAACAGTGTGTCCATCAATCATTTCATATCAGAATCAACAGGCATGTCCGGCGATCGCTAGGCCGAAGTGATGGTATGCGGGCTCCTTGTGTCGTTGGACTTCATGGACGCACTCCAGTCCAAGCAGAAGATGACAACCTCCAGCATTCCCGTTCAACTCGCTCACAACATTCTTAGATGGCTAGACATGGACAGCTCACGACGTGACACACAGCCACTTTATTTCCGGGGAGTGCGCATGTGCGAATGCTGGTTTGCTCTTGAGCATGCTGCTCGCTCAAACACCTGGACAGCATCATTCAATGCAATTGCCGTCGAGCTTACATTGCCGCCTTTGCATGCACTACAATGCAAACATGCCCGCAAGGAGCCTTAACAAACCAGACAAAGCACATGTCAGGGTTCGGCCATGTGCGTGTAACACATCGCCAAGAGCTCATGGCATGGCCTCCGGCCATGCGACATCTGAGGGAGTCCTGGTCTGTTTTTTTGCTTGCATATTCAACTCGCATGCAGCACCTGTGCTGATGCCATAGGAGCAGGACAAAATGGAATCAGCCAAGAACATTGTGCTGTGCTCGGGCGGACTGCTTGCAACACTGGTTTGTGATTATAGGATGCTACTACTATGTCACTATGATTTTACCATTTCCTGCTTGACTCTCATGCATGGACATTGTCGCAGCCTACCCGTGGCCGTGCCTTCTGAGAGGCATTCGGACCTTGTTAGATGCCTGGACGCGCTTTCAACGAGCTACAGCGCAAAGTCCACATCAAGGAGTCTGCGCTGCACTTGTGGTTTTGCGCGCCAGGCTTCTTCGCTTGGCTACGTCTGCTCCCTTTGGGGCAGACTCTTCGTGGATGATTCCGGATGAGCAGCTGTGGGCTCGCAGACGCGTAACCGCTGTGGAGCTTGCGCGTTTCGAGGTGGTCGAGGTTGTCGAGACCAGCCCGCTGCCCGCTGACAACACGTGCACAGTGGCCTCTGACACTCTGCCGCCGCAGCCCGCAGGAGTTTCACTGAGATGGCGCAGAGGCGTGCTTCAGCCACCACCTGGGGGCACGGTGGACCTGCCCATTTTTGACTTGGAGCCAGCAGACATCATGTGCTTGCCCCTTTTTCCAATTGCTGGCAGATGCATGAAGCTGACAGAGCTTTTGGCTTGGATGATGGGATAGGCTTGGATGTTCCTGCTTGGGCTGAGACCTTGTTTGCTGACTCTTCATTTTCTTGGACAGAGGACTTGGTTTTGGCTCTTCGTGATGGCTTGCTGAACGACCACGAAGACACCATGCCTCCGATTACGTGCCGTGCTACTATGCCTGCGCCTTCATGCTCTCGGACTGCAAGCAGTCCTGGTCTACCAGAAGGCCGCGGGGTCGCAGGTCAGACGGCGCCTGCGCCGAGTCGTTCGAGTCGACGCGTTCAGCGCGGGCACGCGCAGCAGCCGAAGTATGGAGCTTGCTTGATGTGCCAAAAGCCTCTCCGACCAACTATTCCAGCCTCCGGCCGGTGGTGGGGCATGCCTCTCTTACGGTGCTCAAGATGGTGGTTGCGCGGGCCAGCCGGCAGACGTCTCTGCTGGTATTGCACCTCACCTTATGGGTACTTTTTGTTGCTCTCAGATTGTTTTCTGTTCATGTCCTGTTAGACGCGACAGCAATCTGAGCAGGCAAGCCATTTGGCAAAGCGTCTACCTCTTTGCCCCGTAGCTTGCAGCGGAGACTGCGAGAAGTCAGATCTGACATTCGCTGGCAGCTTGCTCATCCCGGCACAGTTTGAACTTCAGAGCCGCATGCTGTGCAAAAAAACAGCACACGTGTTTTGCTGTAGTGGTCATGGAACTGTCCTTTCCATTTTTGACCAACCTGGTTGGTCAATAAGGTAACCAGGGAAAATGTAGCAGTGTGAAGCATGTGTTTCTATGTCCTCCGCAGCTGCTTTCCTTTTCAGAGCGCTGCATTCTCCGAATGAGGAAGAAGGGTGTCAAGCGCAGTTTTTCTGCCAGTGCAAGTGAGAACACCGAGTGGAAGAAGCAAGGGCTCCAGTACTCGGCAGCTTCTTTGTCTGCATCTGGCACTCACACAGGCTTGCGGGCTTTGCGACAAATCAGTTACCATGACCTTTGCAGCTGGACTCAAGATCAAGCCTACCAGTACCTCTTGGACCATGGCGTGCTCTCGAAGGATCCGCCACTGTGCTGGTCTTGCATGGAAGTCATGACCCCTGAGTCCCGCCAAGTCAATGCCACCTACGCGTGCAAGACCAAGAGCTGTTACTTGCATCCCAAGGTCACTTGTCCGCACGAAGCATGGACGCCCTTGCACGGCGAGGTTCGACTGCTGGGCGATGCCGACTACAAGGGGTTTCTGCTGCGCTGTTACTTGGTTGGCGTCAAGGTCCCCAATGACTCAGCCTTCCACTTGCTACCTGACGTACACTGGAACAAGGTCTCAAAGTGGTGCCAGCAAATACGACTGGCGTGTGCTACCGCAGAGTACTTGAACAGCATCTCCATCACTTTCGAGGAGGGCCTCATGGAGTTCGACACAGCTCTGACTTCTGTGGACCGAGACCCTTCCGCACAGAGTGTTGCGCAGACGGAAGAGAAACGGGGTAATCCCTATTGGTTTTTGCTTACTAGGCTTTAAGGGCTGCTTTGCCTGCTTTTTGCTTCTTGACTTTCCCCAGGCGCGCCAGAGCCGCTTTCAAGCTGAGAGACGAGGAGCACGCCTGGCTGCGCGGAAAGATGTGGCTCCGACCAAGGCTGTTCGCAAGCGACCGGCTTCTCGGAAGCAGGCCATCCACCGTGGCCGCCATCTGGTGTTCGCGCTGGGGTCGGGTGGCCGTGAAATCTCCACACGCCGCTATGCTGTGCTTCCACTGCCCGCAAATGCCCGCAAAGCTTGCCCAGCAGTCCTGTGCTCCCGGTCCTGAGTCATTCGAGGAGACCTTCGTACACGTGTCTCAAAAAGTGAGCCCTGCCAAGCATGTTGTTTGCGCGGATGGCAGCAAGAGCTTGCAGAAGTGCGCGTCAGTCTTGGGGGCTGCGTCTGCTGGCGGGGTCGCTCACTGGCGTTTCTTGTTCACGCCTCTGAGCAAGATCCCGAAGCGTGGGCTCTCTGCTGAGCCTTTGGCCTTGCTCCGAAAGATGAGCAAAAAGAAGCAGGGAAAGATTGCGATCGAGAAGCGGGACTCTTTCTGGCTGACAGGTGGTGACCAAGTCGCTGAGTGCATTGCCGGCATTGGGAAGCAGACTCTGAGACGGCTGGGGCAGTGGGCAGAAACAAGGACAAGCTCGAGCATCGCAACATTTTGGCAGCCTACTACGTTCACCAAAATCCAGGACTGCAAAGTGTGCTGGCTGCATTGAAAATGCACCGCCAGAAATGCATGGGGCTGGTGGCCCCCACGAAGGCTTTCAAGCAGCCGCTGTGGAAAGTGTAGAAACTGCTGATGTGTGATTTTGACGCGGAAACAGGGCAAATCTGCACTTTTTTGCTGCTTCAGACATTGATTCAATCTTGCAATTACAGTGGGATTTGAATGAGTGTTGAACATTGGATAACATGTTGGTCACCTGTTTTCATGTTGCTTCACGCGGACTTTCGTGGTGTTAGTCCGCGCGCGTTCCATGGCATGTGGTCTGCTGGTATGTCATGAGCTAAAACCACTGTAAATACTGGGTCCAAGCACATGCGGGGACTCGTTTGCTCGTTTCTTGATGTTGATTCTTCGGAGAAACCCGGGGTTTGGGCCTCGGATGGTATGCGAGATAAGCCCATCATTGCAAGCGCTTAATGCGGGGACGAGCCATGGTCGATTGAACACGTGGTTGAACATACCTTGTGTTCAAACACAACAGGATCGTAGCCAGCAATGTTGGGACAGTTAAAACATGCGGCTGTTTGAACACTCCTTGACAAACCCTTTCGTCTTCACGCCAGCCCTTTGCACCATCCCTGTGAACAAACAGTGAGTCTTTCCCAGTGCTTCTTGCTCGTTCAAAAACAGTGCCTTGCAATGAGTCTGGTGAGGACGGTTTAAACAGTTATATATTCAAAAAATCGGCCAAACCGTTGAAAACGCAGCAAAACCAAGAGCCCACATCGAGGCCCTTGTAGTCACTTCTGGCACCCCGTTCGGGCCTTGGCGCCGCCGTGTGAAGCTACTGCCTCAGACTCAGGCACAGAAATTCTAAGGCCGGATGTAGCCCAAATAAGCCAAATCTGTGAAACTGTGGGCAATGGCAACGTACGGCCCATAAGTTCAAGCATGCCTCGCAAGAGTCGGGTTTCTGGGCAAAGCATCCATGCTGACTTCGGATTGGGCAGCGCCCGCGTTCATGCGCACAAGCCTTCGGTGCAATTAGCTTCAAGTGAGAGTGCAAGTCGATGCAATGCGTGTGAACTTCAATAGGGGACCCTTTGGTGGACATCATCCAGGCACAAATTCATGTGCACCAACCAGTTCCCCTTCTTTCTGAAATTCAGGATCTCAAGAGAGTCTATTTCTCTGTGCCAACTCTGCCAGCTGCGGATGTACCAATTCTTGACGATAGAAAGGCACGAGATTTCCACAGCCCCTTGGCAGCTCAGCCCGCTGCCGGCCCTCCCCCGGGCGGCAGTGCCATGGAGCCGACCATCGGGGCCTAAGCTGATGTGAGTCGTTCGGACGTTACTTGGAGAGAAGCCCTCGGGCATCCACTTTGATTCTTGGGAAAAGGGGGACATTGGGCACTTCTCACCAGTTCTCTACCAAAGATGCAACTGATCAATTGCCTAGTCTTCTGCTGGAATCGAATTGGCTTACATGAGCATGGACCGGTGTTTGCTTGAATGCCTTGACAATACTGTCGTCATTTGTTTGAGTGTCGTGTTCTTCCGGCCAGGAAGCTCGAAAATCCAAAGCACATGACATATGAACATACGAGGTCCCTGGCAAAAAATAATATCAAACAAACAACAAAATCGCCTGCGAGACCCTAGCAATCAGGTTTGGTGCGAAGCAAACAACGAAAAAACAAGTCGCGCGAGGTTCTCCCTTGCGTTTAGCTACATGTTAGGTAGGAAGTATGCTACGAATAGACTGCACAAACAATAAAGGCCGTTATAAACACTTGGACGGTGAGCGTGTCCAATTTCTTGCGAAGGCGACAAGAATTGCGAGTGCGTTTCCTCTGCGTGTTGTCCACGATGTGAAAAAAAACAACAGACACGAACGCCGTATTTTGACCCAATGAAATCGGGCTTCACGCGCTTGGAGCCTTGGTAAACGCAGAACACCTGAGACATCCAAGGTTGTCGAATCTTAAGACATTAACTCTTGAAAACGCACCAAACGCGTGGGGTAGTATAGGGCGACGTTACCTTGCTTTTCTAGTTGGGGCAATTACGGTTCAGTTCGGGTAGATGATTTGAGGTTGAGCTACGCAGGTAGATGGATAGGACGGTAGGACCCGTTTTTCAGCGGTCTCGGGATTTCCCTTGGGAGAGCTTCCAAGGGCCTGGGCCTCCGCGCTGTCTCTGGGCGGCCCAAGTCTTTGGCTTCTGTGGGCACCTGGACATTCCAAGCGCTCGCTTGGGACACTTGGGCCCGCCTCTTTTGGGGGAATGGGCGAACACCATTTTGGGGGTCCCCCCCATTTTGGGAGCGGTTTTGCGGTTGGCGTCCCTTTAAACCAGCGCAAAAAAATGGTACCCTCAAAAGACAGACCCATGTTTGAATTTTACCCTTGAGGGTCATTGAAATGCGCGTGGGATCCCAATTTCTGCGCAGCTTGTCAAGGGCTCAACATGGAGCTTGTCCCGGGTAAAGGTTTGGGACCATGGGAGAAAGAACGCAACATTAGCTTGTATACTATGCCCAACAATGCACAGCCCCAGCAAACACTAAGACCTGACACCAAATCCAGCCTCATACCTTCCAACAGGACAACTGCATGGTCACTAACAACCTTTGCTGCAGAATGTTGGCAAATGCACGGGATTTATACCCACGTTCCCCAAAACCAAAAACCGCAACGACTTACCAGCTTTGTGCGGGAGGCTGTCAGTTTAGCATGCCACTAGCAATGCCTGCAGAAGAGTTCTCACAGCCAAAGCAACAAACACAACGCGGCTTCACGCTGCATATAATTTTCCTCTCAACTGTCGGTGTATTGGGTGCCGGCTTGCTTGTTAACTTTCTAACAAACAAAGCTCACTTTGAGAATGCCCTCCTGACCATCCTAACAATTTTCCTCTGATTGCTGGTTTGGCCTGCTGGTTTGGAGTCCAGGGGCTGGTTTCGAAGAAACCCTCTACAAGATCCCGGGGGTTCAAACCCAAATCCAAACCCATGCAAACCACCCGAGGCTTGGATACCTTCAGCCTGGAATTTCATCAGAACCTGAACTCCCGCGCGCTCAAAGGCAGGTGGCCGGAGCCTTCTTGGGGTCGAAGCTTGGCAGCCGCGCAAAGGCCTCGACCGGACTGCCCTCACCCCGCTCCCAATTTGTGTCCTGGGGTTTCCCCTGGATCTGAAGCCTTGTCAAGACAAAAAATCCCATGGCACATGGGGACCAATGCAATAGAAAAAGGCTTGGAGAATTGCAGGGGTGCGCTGCTTTGTACGAAGATGTATGGAAACATGCCGAATCTTGGGCTTGACTGGCAATGTTCGCTCGCCTACTCGGAATCCTTGTCCATAGCGTAGATTGCTTACATGCGTAGCTTGCCCTTGTGTATGTATGTATATGTGTGTGTGTGTGTGTGTGTGTGTGTGTGTGTGTGTGTGTGTGTGTGTGTGTGTGTGTGTGTGTGTGTGTGTGTGTGTGTGTGTGTGTGTGTGTGTGTGTGTGTGTGTGTGTGTGTGTGTGTGTGTGTGTGTGTGTGTGTGTGTGTGTGTGTGTGTGTGTGTGTGTGTGTGTGTGTGTGTGTGTGTGTGTGTGTGTGTGTGTGTGTGTGTGTGTGTGTGTGTGTGTGTGTGTGTGTGTGTGTGTGTGTGTGTGTGTGTGTGTGTGTGTGTGTGTGTGTGTGTGTGTGTGTGTGTGTGTGTGTGTGTGTGTGTGTGTGTGTGTGTGTGTGTGTGTGTGTGTGTGTGTGTGTGTGTGTGTGTGTGTGTGTGTGTGTGTGTGTGTGTGTTTGTGCCCGGGTTGGCGTACGCGAGTTCGGTTCCTTGCGTCTCTTGATGTGAGCCGCAGGCTGGCACTGAATGTATGATTGGCAGGGAGATCCCTGCTTCTCTGTGCATGTCAAATCACATTCGTTCCGGGCATGCGAAAACATGCGCCTGCTGCATGTGAATGCGCGCTTCCTTGAGCGCGGGTGACTGCACGCAACCAGTTGCCAAACAACCCTCAGAAATCCGCAAGGTTATTTACCGGAAACGGAACAGTCTTGAGGCACGCGCGAGCAGTCACGTTGAGTTCATGTCCCTGCACAGCAGCGCAATACGTCTAAGCCCGGATCATCATCCACCTCCCGCACGCTCATCCTTAGGGCCCAGAAATGTGTGTGGTGATGAGAATTTGATGGTGTCTAGTGTCAACACTCCAGTCAAAAATTGGACGTCTCGTGGGATGTCTCAAGATGTCAGGGTATGTCAGAATATACGAGGTCCAGCTTGCTCTCCAAATAGGGGGGTTGTTCGAATCTGACGCAAACCACCCTGCAGCCATGGCTCCATCGAAGTCTCTGACCTCAGAAGCCAACGGCGTGCCACACCGACTGAACCTGTGCTTCGTTTTACTTGCTCGAGCTCATGAGCTTGAGCAAGTGAGGCATGTTCAAAGTTGGAGATACGCACACATCACGACAGCAAACAAGTGACAAAGCTATGCCTGGAAAGCCTGCATCCACGAAAGAAAGAGAACCAAGCTGACACAATGGCAAGCTGCTTGGCTCCGGACACACGTCAACCAGCCTCTCTCGAGCTTGGGGATCCCTGGGCAGGCAGTGATCTGTGTGGCCAATCGCCATCTGAGATGGACCCACAAATTTTGCTTTGGTCGATGCGTCTTTTACAGCCTCGTTTATGGGAGGCCAGGTAGCCAACTAGTTGCACCCAGGCAATCTTCATAGATAGACAAAGCGGTAGCGGTACAATGAGCATTGAAGGCATGCCCTGGTCATTTCATGCATGCAATGCTCTGCAAAGTTCTGCAGTAGCTCCATCATCCATTGTGCTTGGCCGCAGGCATAACAACCCAAACACACACACACACATACACATAGCATCAAGAGTTTGAGGCAAAAGTCCAAGAGCCTGTGGCAATGCTGAGGAGCTGACATGCAAATGAACTCAAACCCAAAACTGATGAAGCTCATCAGCCCATCCTCTTACTCTTCCACCTACTGCCACACTCACATCCCCCCGCCCACAGCAGTCCGCCATGTGGATCCCAAATGCCCGGCTTTCCCCGAGTGAGAAGCAGCTAAGCACAAGTAGCAGCTGACAGAAGGACTGGAACAAACATCCTGAATCACTGAAGGCCGGGTTTCCAAACTTGAGGATCTCCGCTCGTTTGCCGAAGACTTCCTCGCACAACTCGTTCACTCCTGAGACCGGTCATGCTGGGGTATCTGCAAAACGTTGTCATTGCCACAACGGAGAAATTCGAATCGCCAAGCAAGGCGTGAGGTTTCTTAGGTAATGAGGTGACACTGGGGGCGGAAGTTACGGTTGCATGGGTGCAAGCATGCTTATTATAATTCTGGAGCATGACAAGTCATGAATGAACAGCGGTGACACATCAAATTGGGGGACATATTGTAGTGAAAGAAACAACAAAAGCAAGACAGCAAGAGGAGTTTCCATTCGGTGTCTCACCGAGCGAAGGCAAGTTCAAAGCATGTGAAAGTACGGTGTAACTTAGCCTAGGTTGCGCCTGTCCCAACACATATTGACGTCCTTCCAGGCAGTCGGGCACAAGCGACTGGGCTGCTGAAGCCGCTACACTCACTGCTTTGTTTCCTCTAGTCTAGTATTGTATTCGCTTGGCGGCTTGGCGGTTTTGCACAGCGCCAGTCCTGTCGCTGCACAATAGAGACTCGTTCCCTCCCTGCATTAACATTCTTGCCTATCTTCAACTATGCATGGACATTTGCATGAAAAGCACTGCTAGCTGCCACGCTGGCAGCAGCTACCGAACCCCGCAAATGCCATTGCACACAGTTGCGTCCATGTGCATGAGTCTTTTAAGGCCAGGACGGACGCCGCAGTTGTACAGCGCTGCAGAGCCTGAACATATCAACACATCAGTCTATATAGCTATAAATATACTATAAACAGGAGTGTAACTTATATATTTATGTGCATACGAACCATGAGGTCACTGCTTGTTTCCACATCAACTGTGTTGGAGTCTTCTAGCCAGCCGGATTCATCAGGGTGAAACTCGAGGCGCCGAATCTCCACGAAATCCTTTGCCAGCAGTTGCTCGGAAGGTGCGAAGAGGAGGGCTTTCCCCCAAAAAATCAGAAGAGACCAGACATTACATGCACCACCACAAGTCTTTTCTGTTCCTTTCTGGCCTGCGTGGGCCGCAAACTTGGCATATTGAAAGATCCCCTCGATAATGTTAGGGTTTCATGAGCTTTCCCAGTGCTGTCCTTCCAAACCTTCCTGCCCATAAAATGAAAGCCTCTTTCGTGCCCATGTTCACTATTTCAAGCGTAGCATTGCGCCGACCTGACTCTGTCAGCAATTTGTTCCAACACAAGCGCCCAACCCAATGTTCATGGCCTGGAAGGCCCACCGCGAAAGCTATGGAAAGCAGCACGACAACACTGGCAGGCCAAATGCGCGTGAGAAGGAAGGGTATTACCTGACATCTCTGCACAACCAAAGGTGCGCGATTCAACGAAACTGCTGTGGGTCCAAGGTACGCTCTGAACTGGAAATGACAACTCAAGCAAAACACCTCGTGAGCAAGGTCGATTCCCCCCCTCGTTAGGTCCCAGATCTTGGGGAAGCCAAAAGGGAATTGGCTAATGTCAAAAGCAATGCGCGCAAGCTTAGGCACCTTTGATGCGCTCTGCAGTGTCACGGTCGCCCCAGTTGAGCACCATCTGTCGGACAGGGCGGCAACGCCAGCGTGCGCATCTGCAACCCACATGTATTCAAGGATCCTGAAAGGTTTTTGGGACCACTTCGATGTGGATCCATGATCGCAACATGCAATGCCGCTGATGGAGGGAAGCCCTCCATGTACAGCATGCAATCCTGTAAGCGCACAAACATGGTAAAGCTTCGAACTCAGTGCATGCACGCCAGGGCAGGTTGTGGAAAAGGGGCTTCTTTCACTCGGTTTGACTACTCAATCCGACAAGCAAAATAAAGTTTGCGGTTTTCAATCATCCCCCCTCAATCCCCATTTTCTGGAGTAGCTAAGCGCCACATGTTAACATGTTGGCAATACCTAGTTGAGTTCTGCAGCTGAAGTCAGTCTTTGACATTGCCTCGGCTCTCCCCAGTTAGCTGAAAAGCAACTGCAGAGTTTGTTCAGCTTGAAACCTGCCGGGCCCTAAACGGCAGTGCAGTTTAGCGCTCACAGCGATGGCACAAACGAGTTACACATAAGGTGAGTCAGAATCAAAACCCGTTCTTCAAGAAGAGTGTCCCAAGTCACGCCTATTGATGGTTGGACCCTCCAATGACCCCGGTTCTGACAGCGGCTTAGATCCTCATTTGTCGTGCCATGGTGTCCCAAGAGTGCACCATAACAAAGGCCCCATACTGCTCATGCCCAGCAGGATCAGAAAGCTTCCTAAAGCAAGTGCTACTTGAAAGCCGCAGCACGGGCGGCATAGCTATAACAATATCTCGTCCAAATCGACTCAATCCCCAACAAGTTGATGGAAAAACAACGTGGAAAGTAAGGCGAGTGCAAATGCAAGGCCACAGAAACAAGATCACCAGCCTTCACCGGCTCCAACCCGCAGCCGCCCTGAGGCATGCTTTCCTGGACAGGACAGGCCCCAGGGCTGCAGGGTTTAGCGTTTTTGAAAAGCAACGGCCAACCAGCAGCCTTTTGTGGGGTTCCACTAACATGGAACGGTCCATTTTGAAGCAAACTGGTCTTCCCGGACCTCTCTGTCAGCTTCCATGTTAGCGGAGACGAGGGTACCCAGGATATGCAACCTTTTTGTTGGCTTAAAATGGGGCGAGCTCCAAAATGGGTTGATAACCAGCACTTTAAATGCTCAGTGACCAGATCTGACCCTGGGCCAGGTGGCATGGCTGAGATCGCTGAAAGCTGGAAGTGACGCGAGAAAGCTCTCTTCCCAAACTCGCTCGCACCTTGTACTTGCTGGAAAGCGCAGCCTTGGACAAGGCTGTGCAAAGGAAAAAGCAAGCTGCAAGACCTACAGTTCCAAAGCCCCAAATCAGAAACCTTGGGAGAAACGCAATGAGTGAGCTCAGTGAGCTCGCTGTTTTCCTGATGGGATTGCCATGAACTGGGCAAATGGCTTGCTGGTCTCTCTGAGCGGCAACAAAGCACCACCCCTCCCTCTCTTCAGAATCTACCGACCAGTTGTGCTCACTCACGTTCCAACAAACCTCCATCCAAAATAGTTCGTACCAATTCCGTTTAACCATTCTTCGTGCTAAATGGCTTGTGTTGCGCTCGCAACCATCCACACATACTCAACGGGCATGCCACACAGCATGTAGTGCAATAGAGCCTGCTGGCCAGCACACAACACCTGCTGGCTTGACATGATCAAACAATAAAGTAGGAATCCTTGGCGGACCAGCATCCCATTTTCATACATGCATGCGGAAGCTCCTCTCTGTGTGTGTGTGTGTGTCTTGGTATGCCCTGCATAGTTCGCCTTTGCATCTAGCAAACATCTTGCACGGTAAGAAACACACCTCCATGGGTATGGTAGTTACAAACAAATCCTTTCTCGCGCACTAAGCTTACTTAGCAACTTGGGCACTCTAGCAGTTGATGCTTGCACATGTTTACATCCACCCCCACACTTCACCATTTCCACCTTGCCCTTGCGATCATACTACGCTTGCGGGGGCGAAGAGCAAGTCCCTGTCTGCATGTTGGCATGCCCCATGCATGCCTCCCTGCATGCCCCTGAGCGTATGACATAGTCCTTGGCGCACAGCACCGCCGTATATTGGCCATGCCGGTCTTGCCGCGCCTGTTGCTGACGGCTTGCGGAGTCAGCAGGCATCTGGTTGAATCTCAAAGTGTCAATTATTCATTGACTCCGCATGTCCTGCTTCTAAACCATTCAAAGGCAACCCGTAGTATGCACCACATCAACAAAATGCAACGTTCAACAAGCCGAAAATTATCTACTCATAGAAAATTACATCGGCAGCAACGCATCTAGCTTACGATATTAATTTGGGGCTGCACACAAACACGCTCTTCCCAGGAATTGCAGAATTGCCGGCATCCAACGCAACAACTGCATTTCCCGGGCGCCCACATACGTACGGCCAGAACCTTAAAGCGTTACAAAGCCTATGTAAAAAGACTGCAGCTTGATCGAGCTTGGCAAGGTTTCCGGATTTGCTAGTCACATTGCTGGGCAAACATCCGCACTGAGTACCACAATTCACGAACATGAATGAAGAGTTCTCCTGGTAAGCAAGCTTCTTGGGTGAGCAGACTTTAGCCTCAGGTGAGTTTGCCATAACTGGTATAAAACCATGCGCAAACCACCCCGACACGTCCCTGGCGCGCCGTGCGCCCCAGGAATTGCGTCCACTCGCGCTGGGAGGTCGGAACCTGCAGTGAACCAGAACAAAAACCACTGAAGAGCTGGAGCCCGCCCCCCGAACCAGCACTCATATGTGGCCCATATTAAGCCCCAGGTTGCCCAAAGGGGCAACAAAGTAAATTCAGTAAGGAAATTCCCTGGGCCGGCTGCAACAGCCGGAGCCCTTGGGGTTGAGTACCCGGAAACCACTCGGTGCGCTGCCACGGCAGGAATCAGCAGAAGACCTGCCAGGTGCAAAGCTTGGATATGACTTTGGCCGAGAGCGCTCTGCCGGGTGCGGCCCCGGCTATACCCAAGTGACCCTAAGTGAAATATTGAAGCCGCTGCAACCCAAGACAGACATCAAACGTGAAAACAGCCGGGCGCACGCAATTGACATGTGTAGGGCAGCATTTGAATGAACAGGGAGGCCCTCCAGCAGGTGCTACTTGACAAAGGTATTGCGGTATGCTGCCACCACGTCATATGTCTGGATTCTGTCAGCAGTCGTGACATCCCACCAAGAACAATGGCAGTGATGGCAGATAAAAAAAGAAGCAGCATCATAAAACATCAGAGTTGCAACCATCCACAGTCAGTTCACCCCCCGACGACCGAGCAGGAAACCGTCTGCTGGCACCTCCGGCCCCATCCACGTCAGAGTCGTCCACGCGATAGTCTGTCCCACGGCCACCTCTTCGGTCCGTGACCTCCAGCGGTTGCAGCTTGCATTCGTGGATTCTTCAATGCTGGTTTTTCAGAACACCACCTATCTCAGTTTCGGGGAACAACAAGGAGCAAGCATTCATTGTGCATTTGTTCTGGCAGCCATCTAGCTCAGTTTCTGGGAACAACAAGAGACAATAACTTGAGCATCGCAACCATGTCTTTAGTCGGTGCATGGCTTTTGCCACAAAGACAACTGAACAGCAGGAAGGACACTTACAAACTCAGCAAACCTTAGCTGCAGGGATTTCAAACGGAGGGCACGCCCTCCGTGCAACAGTGGAAAGTTGGCATCTGTGCAACTCTAACACGCCGAGCTATCCCTCGCTGACGCAACCCATCTTTTAGCTTGTGAAGCAGTCAGCGAGCACAAGTTGCTCATCTGCATATCCGAGAGCCCTGCGGTGATGCGCCAAGACCTCGGTGTCCCCAAATGGATGCCCGGAGTTCGCTGCAAAGTTTACTATGATTCCCAAACCTCAACTAAGGGATCCGTTGTACCCCCAGGTGAGCTCCCTCCCCATAAATTATGTAGCGCGCAGGCTGGAGGACAACTACCTTCTGACTCCTTGCAAAGGCGAGATCCCAAGCTCTAAGGTGTCAGCAGCACCTGAGGCTCCAAACTTATCTCGCCCTTCTGTCGCTCCCAAAGGCATCGTGGCCTTGGGATTCAGCACTCAAACGCGCCTGGCCTTACTGCCACTGCAACAACCCCGGGGCCCCGGGGGGAAGATGCGTTTTGTTTGGCTTGGTCTATGTTCAGTAAACCTGAAAATGGAAATATGATGTCATTTGAGAGGTCCCAAGTTTGGACGCATTCGGCTCCCTCGGTCCAAAGGACAGCGTCATGACTGCAATGTAAGAGCAGAATTGCAGAAGAGCAAGTAGCAAACCCACTTTTGACAAGCAGTGACAAAGGGTGCTGCTGAGATCAGTGGGTCAAGTGACCTGAGGCACCAACACAATTGTGTTCAGTTGTTGCTGCTACTGGAAAGATGTTGCTGGCAATGTCTTCAAGTTGCAAGTTTGCCGCTTTTCACTGTCTTCCACAACAGCTCTCTTGACTCTTGGACAAGTTGTTCTTTGAGATTTGCAATGGCTACCCCCATCATCCTCAAGGCTGGTTTGTATATTTTGCCAAGGATTGGCGTGAGGGTGTGATGCAATGGGCATCTGCAGTCTTTTGGGGAGCATCAAAACTGGGCCAAACTGCAAAGTATCAACTTCCTTGGGGTTGCACTTTGGGTAAGACGTAACAAAAAGCTTCACCTTCCACAGGGCACGGGCACGGTTGAGATTCTCCTTCCACTGCTCCGGCTCCGCTTCGTAGAGCCTCGCGGGTTCGTCTTGGGCTCGTTTTGCTTCAAAGGACCTGGATTTTTTTGTTAAAAAAAAAAATGGCCATGCCTACAGATCAATTCAAAAGGTCGGCTCGCTTCAAGTGAGTCTTGATTTCCCTTTGAACAACAAAAGAAAATCCCCGAAAAGAAAGACGCCCACAAACCACGGGAACAAATAACATACTACCAGGGGGACACCTCAATTACCCCAAACGCCTTCTACTCTACACGACCTGTCAACCTTGAGGGCTTGTTCAAGGGCAAACACCCTTCTCGGCCGCAGGCCTGCCCAAGGCACAATCCCCAAGGGCAACAATGAATAACTCCGGTGCAAAACTTTGCAAAGACTGGCCAAGACTGGCTGACATTGGCTAGGCTTGTCGCCATGGCAAAAGACGTCCCACAGCAAGCACCACGCACTGGGGCCGAAGCGTCCGGGATAGAGACCGCACCACATCCTGCAATCCCCAAGTGTTTCAGAAGACTTTGTCAAATTGTGGGGTGCCTCTTGAGCTGAGCCGCACCCTGGGTTCCTCTTGAACTCGTCAATAAAATTGAGCATCACAAAGCACTGAATGCAAGGCAACGCTACGCAACACTTCTCAAGGCCGGAATCATGTCCCCGGCAACAGGGAAATGAGGGCAAATGTACCGTTTACGTGTATAAGAAGTCACACCCCAAAAGGCCACACGTCGTCCCATGCGCTTGAGCCAGCCTATTCAACGATTCTGCATAGCCCAACGACTCTTGGCTGGTTGTCAGTACTAGTAAGTAACATTGCATATCAATGCCACTCGAAAAGTTCGTGCTTAGCCACTAGGCATGCCCGAGTGCTTCCGAAGGGCTTTCAGGGCATTTGAAGTCAAGACTGCTCCAAACAGCTGACGAATGGCTTCCTTGTGGCGCACCTCTCTCCGTATCAATATGGCTCAACTTTTTGGTAGGACATCAGAATTCGGTGGGGGCTCCTGACCATCATTGTGTGAAGTGGCTGATTCCAACTGATTAGAACTTAGTTCGCCATACTGCTGGACAAGACCTCCGAGGGAACGGGCTCCCTCGAGGCCGAAAGCTGTCGAACGCTCCTGCGAGGTTGTGCCAAAGCCGCGGGACCGCGCAGCCATCTGCATGCTCTCCAGCAAGCTGTCAGCCTAAGGCAAAAGGCCGAATTCCCCAAGAACCAACCAAAGGGTCTAAAGAACATGGTCTAAACCACCCCCCCCATGAGGTTCCATGACCGGAGGGTTCCTCTAACGGGATCGGTGGAATGGACTTGGCATCTGAATGAGTCGCTGCCAGCTTCCTTCACGCTTGAGAACATGCCATTATCTGGAAATGGTCCGACGCAACAAAATGTTCCGTCACCAAACCGCACAAAAATGATCTGTGCCAATGTGCTCGCTGGATTGCTACCTTTCACCACTTGCAGCAAAAGTAATGCTGGCCAGCTGGTGGACCAGCTGGTTGAAGAACAAAAACCGACATCCACAATGGTCCTGTGTGAGAGGACATTATTGGCATCAAAGAGGGGGCGCTAAGAAGAAAACCCTCTACTTCTTCCGGGCAAGCAAAAGCTGAGGCCAATCTCTGGGTTGAAATGAAGCTAGGCATGCCGACATGCATGCGATCTTTCGCGATGATGAGGACCGGCACGCGTTCCCGTGCCTGGCAGGGGCAAACTACAGCAAACATGCAAAGTACGGGGAAGTTGGCGCCAAGGTGCAACCCTGGACCCTCGCTCCCTAACAATCAACAAAATGATTGAACTTCTTATGCCGCTCTTCTGGCCAAGTCATGCTCATTGAAGCTGAGCATGCAGCAGAAAGCAACCACATCTTGTATGATCTCCTAACTCACTGAGCACCAAGGCTCTGGCGCAAGCCTTCCACAAGGACTGATGGTATTTCATGTTCAGGCTTCTCATTTTCAACACGTGCTTTTTCTGAGGGCCAACCCGTAGCAAGGAAAGGGATGCGAGCGTCGAGGTGCTGGGCAAAGGGAGATAAGCCCATGCTTGCCCACTGCTGAGCCAGTGATTGTCACATGGTCCGATGCTCAGCTGGCGCTCGGAACGCTCGGGCTTGACCATACTAGGTCGTCAACACGTAGCCAAAACAAGCACAATGGCAGCCTTTCCGGGGGGAAAAACGTCCCCAACAAACACCTGAGCATGAACATGGCAAATGCCTACCAGCCAAAAACAGCACGCTGATCGAAAACAAACTCGCACCGCCCTCACACGACAACATATACTCGCAAAGCAAATGCGCTCACTATTGTCATGTTCTAAGCTTCACCCATCCAACAAAAAAACTGTTTCCAGCTCCCACAACTAGTCATGGCATGCAAAAAGCCCATTGAAGGCGGCGCCCCCCCTGGCTCGCGAGCCTCGAAAGCCACCTCTGCAATGCGCGAGGTCTGCGCCTGGCGCTTCAAGAAGCGTAGCGATTCGACCCGGCTCAAAGGGCCGGCTCAAGGCATCAGGTAGCTCAGCTAGGGCTGAAATATGGCCGTGGGTCAAAAATAGGGTAACCCCAAATGGGTGGCCCTGGCAAATGAAACCAAGGACTTCAAACCCCTGGTGGTTGAATTTTCGCTCATATCCAGATATTGTTTGCATTGAAGGGATTGGGTTACGGGGCCGAAGGAAACCTGCAACACAGTGAACTGCCTCCACATTCTCCTCCACGTACACTGCAGCTTGGGAGCTGCCCAGCTTTGCTGGAAGCGGTCTCGGAACGTTGGCTGAAAATATACATTGCAAGCAGGAAACCGCCAGGGGAGCAAAGCCCGCAAAAAATATGAACATGTTGCCGGCGGTGCCTTCAGCAAATCTAACCTGTGTTTGGCAGCTGTTTTACAGCATTGCGGGGTATCCTGCAACATTGTACAGCACCGGCTTTGCCACCCGGAAAGTATCACAAAATGCAAAGTCCCGCGATAGCACCGCTGCCTCCGAAGCCAGCTTTCAAACACCGACCAGTGCTCCCAAGAAGCAGCAAATTGCTCAGCTTGACCGCCAGGCTTGGCCCTCGTCTAAGGCGACAGCTCGTGGAATGGCGATCCGCGGCACGTCCTCAAGGGATGGGTCACTCATCGCCCGTCACTGCGCACCATGGGGTGTTGAACATGGGGCATGCCCGCCCCAGGCAAGAAATATATTGAACTCTCAGGGGATGAAATGCCGGCAACCGCGTGATGAAATTGCTGTTCTTAGGAAGCCGTATTTGAGTCCAGAGGCTGTTGAATGATGCTACTAAACTTGTGCCGGTACTTGTGGCAACCATTTCAGGTGGAGGTTTGGGGGGTTGAGCTTTGAGACTCAGGGAAGCGAGCTTGCGCGAGGGAACTTCATAATGAAGGGGAAGGGACGCCAAACATGCTTGCACTCATGCATTCAAGTGATGGTGCTTCTGTGGCAGCACCTAATTGTTTGTATGCCTACTTCATGAATCAATGCTGCCGGGCTGTCGTGGCAATGTCCCTGCTTGCAAAGTGGGGTGGTGAACAATATAATAGTTGTTCAGTGATGGCAATAAGCTGATATTTGTTCATGAAGCCATTCTTGCCTTCTCCTGTTATCAAGCTAATTAGCTTTCCGCTGTTGTGCCTTCCGCCCCGTACATTGAATTAAGATGCATTACTTGTTTAAGACTATTCCACAAACACTGCTTGCTGCAAAAGCAATTTGTGAAAGTTGCAATTGTGCTCCAGGCAAAGTCAAGGTTGGAACTTTGCAGGTTGGTTCTCAGGCTACGGGTGAAGGCGACCCCAAGATACAAACACAATCTAAGGTTTGTCTGCGTGGCCCAAGCGCCGGACTTCAAGAAAGGTGGCACCTCAAAGAAGGCAGCGCCTCGGACGGAAGGCAAGGATGTTGCTTGGGGCGCTCGACGGGAAGCGCCCGAACCTATTCAAGCTAATGTGTTTTGATGTTTCTGTAAACCATCGTCTTCCATGGAATCATGGCCTTGGACTTTGTTCTTCAGGATAGGGCCGACTGCTGTGCCTGCTGTGCCTCCGGTGCTACCGGTCGCAAACCACTACACCAAACACGGCAAGGATGGGCTCAAAAGTGCCTACAGGACCTGACATCTACTCGCTTGGTAAATATGTGGCCGTTCATCGGGCTTGCTCATGCAGTCCCAGTGCTGTTTTGAATCTATCGGACAGGCCTTGAAGCAAAGTAAGAAAGCCACTCGAAGCCAGGCACAGCCATATCTCACTTCAGGCGCCGGGCGATACGTCTCCTGCAGGAACTTTCTCTCTGGCTCGCTGCCGATGGAGCCGCTGAGACCTAAGCTTGCGCCAGGTTTAGCCCACGGAGTTGTGGCCACGTTGGAGAAAGTGGTTTTTTGTTGAGGGCACGGCCACAGGACAAAGAAAACGTGAAAAAAACCAAGGTCCCCAAAAGCCAGGCTGCTCTGGCAAACCTGAGGCAACCCAATACATCTCCTTGGCCTCTGGCCCAGAATGCGGTGGTACCGCCGGAAGACCCTGGGTCGCGACCTTGGTCTTCCCCGGCGGCATGTGCCCTCCAAATGCTTCCTCATGCCAGGGTCTAGCCGAACGCATGGCGTTGAAGCTGTGTCGTAGTCACACCCAAACACACCACAACAAACAGAAAAGCAACGCACCACCAGTGCCGGAGTTTACAGCTGCAACTGACAGGACATGTTTGCGATGCCTTGCAGAAAGATATGTTTCCTCGAAGTGCAGAAAACGAGTCAATGGGGTAATTCATCAGAGCACTACCCAACAAACAAACTTGGCAATCAGAATGTGCCAGCCAGCGACAAGCTGGCCACTTCCATGTGCCATGTAGTCAAATTGTTGCGACCTTGTACAGGGATTCTTACATTATACACCTGAACATTGCCTTTATTTTGGCAGGACAAGCCATGTTTCAAATGGGAAGCATGTGATATCTTTTAAGGAGCCCTGTCATTGTACAGCTGCAAGTTGGCTTCCTTAAACTTCAGCAGGGCCCCTATGTCTAACTCCTCAGGACTTCAAGTGTTTTAGGATGTCTTAGGCCAGCACATGACAAAGACCCGCTCTTGGTAGAAGATCTCTTTGCCTAGCCGGGCAAGGGACAAGCCAGTGGCAAGCCCCGGAACATGACAGCTTTGTCTCATGCGAATTTCCAGCTTGTTAGACGTCCACGTTGACATGTTGCTCAGGGTCATAAATGTCGCATTGTAGAACGTTGCTGCCTGGCGCGCTGCCAGCAAAAGCATTGCACAAGTATTTCATTTCTCCCACTTGTTTGATTAAATATTGACCCCCCGAGTTGTATGCCTGCCGCCGGCTCCCCCTCCTTTGGCTGGCTATCATCCCTTGTTCTGGTTGAGAGTCGAACTCTCTCTCTCTCTCTCTCTCCTTTCGGGCTAAAATTGTTCTTCTTTTAGGCGTGCCACCTTGCAATCGGGGTACGTGGAACCTGGTGCAAAAAGCAGCTTACCAACAAAGCTCTTTTTGGGGGCCAGGGCAAAGCAATGTGAAACAAGGGTGGGAAAACGAGCGGAAGGTCCGTGTTGGACAGCTGTGACAGCCACATGAGGCCGCAGCTGAGACCATCCTTGAAGTTCCGACACTCCAGCGCCAAAGACCATGCCTGGCAGGCCATGCGAATACAAAGGCCCGCGCAATGGCCTCTGTGTAAACGTCACGCTGGGCCATTCACACAGCTGACACAAGCACGCTCCACCTCATGCAAAGCGTTTGCATGAGCCTTATGTTATAATATATTGTCTTGCAGGATTGCTGCTTGTGATGTGCTTCGCTCTGGCGAAGATGTGGCTGCAGGAGCAACAGCATATGGGCACTTGAGGCTCAGCTGCTATCCCTTGTCGTCTGCCACCTGCATTTTCATCAAGCACCCAATGCACCCAGGTTGCTCGCCATATTCTTCCGTCAGCTTGGGATCATTTCCAAGTTGTTTCAGCCCCGGGCCCCCAGCCAAACATGAGGTGCCAGAAAAGTCTTCGTTGGTTGACCTTTGGCCTAAGGAACTGAGTTCTCACAGTGGGCCCTGAGCACTAGGCTTTTCCAGTTCTCCCAGTTGTGTGCCTTTGGGTTCGCGCGGCCCGCGTGCAAGGCGCAATAGCGGCCGGACTCCTTGGAGTAGACGTAGTCCTGCGGAAAAATGTGGGTACTCAAAGGGGCAGGGTACCTAGTAAGCGGGCAATAACCATGGTATAACCCACTTGCCATGGTTAGAAGTCTCCTAAGTGGGCTTACTAACCACTTTCTCAGTACCATGCCCCTTTGAGTAGGTTCACATAAATGGCTGATTCTCTAACCCTCCGTTGCTGTCTAAGAAACCTTCTGAGGTCGAAGATTGTGATCTGGATGCGTACACTCAACATCTAACAGCTTGAGCAAGACGGGCATCCTCAAGCGTTGATGTCAACTCGCAAGGATTGTGTGCTCTTGCGAAGCAGGGACATACATGTTCGATACATATTCTATTCCAATCTGTTGAGCAACTGTGTGCTCAAGCAGGAAGATGGGGCTGTGACTTTTACAAAGAACACACACATGTGGCAACGTGAAAGCCAAACACTAAACACTCAGCAATCTGCCCGCCTCTCCAGAGATCATTTTCTGGCCTCGCTCCCACTCCTGTTGCAAGCAAAAAGGCGAAGCAAGGCGCTCTTGCCGCCAACATGATTGGTTTGAATCTTATTGAGCAAATACATGTGCTTCACGGCACTACAGGTGCCTCAAAGCCTCACCGCTAGTTCCGGCTCAATCTTAACCTGCAACTGCAGGAATTGCAGGGGAGATGCACTTTGACCGTCTGCCGCGATGCATGCATGGGTTGCATTGCTTGCTTGTCTGGCCTTGGCAGTCAAATGAATCCTGCAATGATCTCCGAAAAGTGAAGCCTGCAAACTCCGATTAAACAAACATGGGAGATTCCAAAGTTGTCAATGAGGCAATGCCCCCGAGAAAAACCATCCATCCCCTCTATTTAACACTTGTTTCGGGAATCCCCAAAACCGGTTCATTCCCCTACACCCCCCATGCGCCTTGCAGGTTTCATGCACCACCCTGGGCGCTGCCGGATGACCGGAGCTTCGCAGCCTACTGAGCTGCTCCGAGTGCGGCCTGGGCCATCGGGCCGGCGTGAGTGCCCAAAACCTATTGACTTGTGGTCCTAAGATGGTTGCAATGCGTCTTTGAGTCTTTGATTGTTGTCTGGGGTCAAAGGAAAACAACAGAAGAAAAAAGGCCTTGCTATAGTCCCTACTAAACCAGGTAGAACCAGATACTTAAATGGCCAATGGGGGGGGGGGGTTGGGCGCTGCTCAAATGCAAGGAAAGCATCTAGCATGAATCTACACACACAAACGCATTGGCATGTGGGCAGCGCGCAAAAACCCTTGACTTTGGGCTTTGCTCTGGTGATAAAGGTTCATCGGCCTTACTATCCCCCGAATTGAACCAACCAGCAGAACCACCTGAACCTACAAAAGACAAAAATCGCCGATGGAGTGTTTGGGCGCCGCTCACGTGTGCTTAAAAAGAAACCACTGCGTCCATGTAATATAGGGTCCAGGCCATCTCCCACAAGCTACCGCTGAGACACGTGCCCGAAGTGTTGCTCTTCAAACATCCTCCATAAGCTTCCATTTGGTTAAGACCCCCGAAAAAAAAAAAAAAAAAAAAACATATGTCCAGTTGTGATAAATTCCTTTTAAAACCAGCGTGGGAAAATGAAACATGCTCTTTAGCAAATGGAAGTTAAAGGTGTCATTCTCGTTGTTCCGCAAGTGTGCCTACAAATTGGCCCTTCCCTGGCTCCCTGGCTCCTTGCTTCGGATCCTTTTCGCAAGCGCGCAAAGCACCGCGGAGTACATTGCTCCTGTGATGCTGTCGTCGCCCACCTGAGAATCGGTGAGACACATCTGGCAAAGAAGGTGCCAAAACCGGTTGAGAACATAGGGGCGCATTTCCTCTGGCTGTGGCGCAAAATGCCATTCCCAACCCCTCCAGTAAAGGGTGTGTACATTTGACGCCAAAAGCAGGTGACGTTATTAATTAGCGCGACATTGTGAGAATTTAAACAACATAGCCAGCAAGCATGCACTGGCTAGCTCAAGTCGCATCGAAACTCAATCTGTTTGCCAAACCCACTGAAATTGGCAACTGCCATGCCAACTACATACCACCAATTCCAAGTCGGAATAGAACTAATACAATGGCTGCCTGGAGTAAACTCTCTGCTTGCTTGATAGCGAGCCAGCAAAATGAACCGCGGCTTCAAAAGACGCCTGTCCTCGCTGCAATTCCGCCCGGATCAGTAAGAACGTGCATGAAGCAGCACAAGGACCAATGCAGCAGCCACCAATTCGCACACCACGCACCAAGATCGCAAAGACAAACCTCTTATCCTCATAAAGCACACGGAAGATGGCAGGCTTCTCTAGGGGAAAGGCCATAAACATGTTTCCACGCCCAAAACGGCCAGGCTGACAAACCCCGTAGCACCCCTTGCAGCGCAGGCACCGGAAAGCTCTCAAGCCGAGGGAAGCCGGGAGGTAATGGCCCGAAAGTGCGGCTGCAAAGCCTCCAGCCGCCCGGTTTGGCGTTTCCACGGTGTACGGTGTGAATAGCGTGAATGGAATGGGCTTAAAGCGGATTTCCAGTTGATCCTGGAGCATATGGACCTCACACTAATTCCATCAGTAATCAATCTGGGGCATGCTCCCCAGCAGCAATCATTTGGTGAGAGTTACGTGCGAAACATCAACCTGCATGAGTATGGATAGGTCATAACACTTATTGACCAGTTCGTCGAATGTATAAGCATGCGCTGCGCTACGCTACGTGCGTCTGACTCAATTGCACAGCTTAGCCCTCAAGATCCCACCTACCATCAGGGGGAAGGGGTGAGGGGTCCCCAATTCCATTTATCTAGTCTTCCCCATAAAAGAGAACATGGAACCACACCGGATTCGAGGGGTCACCCCTCCCTCCCTGATTCCATTTCTGCCGGGGTGGGGATCCCTCAAGGCAACACAGGGCTCGCCGCATACCGGCGGTGCTGTCCCACCAAGTGGCCCCCCAAGTGGACTCATGTCTGCTCAAGGGTTCCCATCAGCTTCCATGCAAAGGCAGGGCCCGATGTTGATTCTGAGACGTCCCAAATGTGGTCGTCTCCAAAGGAAGGCCAACAGAGTCCACCCCAGCCATTTGATGCGTGCCAAAGCCTGTCCATTTCCCCCGAGTCGAGCGAGTCAATCCACGTGGCCAAAGGGAGCAAAAGTCTGGCGGGTAGCTGCCGCACTCCTCGAGCCTGCAGGGAGGGGCCCTGCCAGCTCCGAATTGATATTTGTGCGGAACTCTCTCAAAAGAGATGGGGCTAACGCTTTGTTGCAATAACAGAAGGGTTCAAGGCCGGAACTAAACAACAAGGAAAGCCGATCGCAATATAACTACTACACATAGCGTGCCAGTGCCCTCATGGTCCAAAAAGTGGATGGCAACAACTACAGTCAGCAGTAGTCTAAATTGCCCTGCTGATTTTCTGTTCGCACTGCCGTCTAGGCCGAACATTGCTGCCAGTGTAAGCCATTGTAAACCTGTGCAGCTCACAAGTGGCAAACATTGCATGCCCATGGCATCTGAGAGGCCATAAGTTCGTGCGCGCTAGCCACCCCAAGCCCTAAACACGCGGCTGGATCCTGCGATGAAGGTCCGCCATGTCCTCCAGGTCATCTCTGGAACATGCTGAACATGCTCATGACTGGAATGATGCAATCACATCTTGCGGGCAACGTGATCGACCGATCCTGGCGAGGCCTTTTTGTTGCCCTGAAATGTGGCCCATCCGTTTCTCCAACTTTCTGTGGCGCAGCGTGCCTTGTGATTGAGCGCCTGCCTAGATGTCAACCCGCCCCTCCCCAAGGCGTGCGCCACTTTTGTTCTGCACAAATCCGTGTCTGTCAGTCCAACAGGGGAGTGGGCTCCACCCTGTCACTGGCTACAGCTTGCTGCTACCAGCGCTTCAAGTCTGAAAATGAGCCGACCGATCAAATGCTCTGCTTGACTGCTTGTGGCAAATAACATGTTCGCATGCTTCTTGCAATGGATCTGGACCGTGGGTCCCACAAGGGAGCGGAGACCAAATCCACAATGGTCAGATCCTCTGGAAGGATCGCACGGGCGATCTCACTTACGCTCTCTGTGTTCTAGCCCATTGTGCTTCGTGCCGTGCAACATCCGTGACGCTCAAATCAGCCTCATGCGCCATCTCCAAGTTGCAGGCCAATATCGGTCAAAACCGGTCTTGGTTTTGGTTGAACAACAACACACATGGCATAGATGTTGCACTTCATGCCAGGCTCTGCACCGTAGCTGCTCACCCTAGGACATTCTCACTGCAACTCTTCAGAACCTCTCATGGCAAAGGGCCAGGAGGTCGTCACTCGTCGCGGCGATTTTTCAGTGCCAGGGTGTGCCCTCAGCTGCTCCCCAGGAATCACCAGGTGGCATGGGCGAAGCACAAGGAGCCTTGAATAAATGATTGAAACTGCTGAAACTCAAACAAACCACAGCAACTAGGCGGCTGCCAAAGGGTAGGTGGGAAAGAAGAACACCATTGAGAAAAAATAAAGCAGCAGCATGAACAGCTACCACCAATAGGCCCTTGTTCAACTTCTGGCTGCGGTCAGGGGACTAACCCCTTTGCAACACTTTCGCTCCATTGTGCAAACCCAAAACTGCAGCGGCGCTGATCTTCTTAGTGTGCTCCATTTCTGTTGCCACTTAGCGCAAATCGGCCCGACCTGGGGTTCTTGCCAGAGGCCGTCGAGCATTCGAGCATGACATGCAGGCAGCCAATCACTAAGCCCGGCCGAGCATCTTCAGCAGCTACGGCAGAGCCGTTCTTTAGCCTCAGCCGCCTCGTCGGGGCGGAGGCGGCAAGTCCTTAATGGTCTTCATCCGGGCGCCCGAGGGCTTGTCCGGCTTGTCCGGCTTGCCACCGCCACCGCCACCCCCATAGCCTGCACCCGACATGGAACAAAGCAGCATCCAAAGCAAGCAGCAAGCACGCAAACCCAACAAAGGACAGATCTAGGTGTATTGTGAATAGATATGGATACATAATATATATATGTAATATTTACTCTATAAAACGAAACCGTGAAACTTGCTCGTCGCACTTGCGCGCGTTTTCCCGGACCGCTTTTCCGAAAAATCCCGGATATGTCGGAAAATTGGTCCGGACTGCCCCGGGAAGATGTAACCGCTTCATAATTCCTACGGATCGCTCGCCCAAATCTGTCCGGGCTACCCCGGGCATATGTGCGGAAGACATAGTGGCTTCATTTTTTGTGGGGACCAATTTCCCGAAATATTCTAGATATTTCGGGAAAACGGTCCGGGAATCGCAGCCATCCACAATTTTCTTAAAATATTCCGAATATTTTAAGAACCATTTTCCCGAAATATTCTAAATATTTCGGGAAATGCCATCGTCGAAATATCCGGAATATTTCGGAAAAATGGTCTGGAGTGCGACTATCGAAATATCCGGGATATTTCGGAAAAATGGTCCGGGCTTTGAACGAAGTCGTTGTGTCTTCTAGATCAAGAGTCTAGGCATATATCTCCCCATCCGTAGCCGTTGAACGAAGCCGTTGTGTCTTCCAGCTGAAGAGTCGGGGCATTTGTCTGCCTGTCCGTAGCAATTTTGGCTGAAATCTTGGCCCATCTTCCAAGAGTTTGGCGATGCGAGAAGCTGTGAAACAGGGAGACAGAGAAGCAACAGCGGTTCAGGGGAGGGACCAAAAGGACATTTCTCATCACTGCAGGTACGTGGATTCTGCGTCCAGAATCCATATCAGCACTGATGGATAATGGAAGCCTCTTCGTTGGGCCGTCACTTCCATGCAGTGGACAGCCCCCCTGCAGTGGGAAAAAGTTATCGTATGGTGGCAGGGTTTTCTGCCACTCCGCACACACACGCCCCTCAGTGAGGGGCGAAAATCTTTTGTTCCAGCCGGAAGATCACGCAATTGGCTCATCAATTCTAACGTCTACCAAAATATCCACTGCGTCGGGGAGAGCGCGAAACTGCACGCTCCGCACGAGGCCGCTCAGAAGACGGGGACGAAAGATCTCCAAGATGAGCAAGACGTGTGCCGCCATAGAAGACAGGCGGAAGCTGCAAAGCTGTCGGGCGATCACAGTCAGAAATGGGAGGGGCATAGGTGAACATCTCCTCGACCCGGATGATGTCCGGATGTTGTACATCAGCAAGTGATGGATCAGGGTCATGATGGGTGGAGAAGGACTCCAAGCGAGACAGAATCCGTTGATAACCTTGATGTTGCCAGTCACGAATTGTCCATGCTTGACTGGATTCACCAGTTCCGTCAACATGCCCAGTTACCCGTTTCCACTCCCGAAACAAGTTCTCAGGTAGGGCGGGTACTGCCTCATCTGGGTGCCACAGTTGAAGTTGACCCGGAGTGTAGATCCGCACCCACTCCTGGTCCGGCCAGACGGAGTATTCGAGCCAAGGGCGCTGCTCGTCAGTTCTGGCCGACGTTTGGGTCACATCATCTGTGTCCATGCTGAAGTAAAGGACAGGGCGTACCGCAGGCTCTGATCCAGCTGGCGAGGAAACAGTCACAATGCACAACCATGCACAACCGGCAAACACACAAGTAAGCAAGAGCAAAGGTGACACTCTGTCATGTCATGATCAAGATGCATCGGTTTATACGTCACCTAGCTCGAAGATGGGCTGCGCCTTGTTGGTAAAGCTGCCTGATTGACCCGCAGGTGTATTTAGATCAGCGACCCCAATAGATTCGGGTGGTGCAACTCCACGAGATACATTGAGCTGGATGGTGGGACGCGTGACGCGCGCGTTCTGACAGTTGCTGACAGATCCCAGCCTGAAGACGAGTAAGATCTTCAACAGAGAATTCAGAAGCATCCGAAGATCGGAGAATCGCACTCAACGTCTGCGGTGTCATACTCAGAGCCGAAGATTGCGTGGCCACGCTATGTTGATGAGGAAACATCGAATTGAAGTCTTGAACAGCTTCAGGAGCAGCAACACGCCGGTAGCCCTCAGTGGTCCAGTCCCTCTTGTACCAAGTGCGCCTGGTGGGCTGGTCTTCGTCATGAGCCAGGTTTGGGGCACAGAACTCCTTCCACTCCCTGTATGTGTGGCGCGGAGGCGGATCATCGCGTTCATCTTGTGGTGTCCATGATCCCGGATGAAAAATCTTGACCCATTGAGCGTCTGGTTGTTGAGGATCCGGGCACCACTCCAGCCACGGCATGACAACTCAAAACCTGGACGCACAACCGAGAGTTATACGGCTGCAGACAACAAGCACTTCATGCAACGCATCAACAAACATGCCAAGCAAACGCAAGACACTCAATCCAGTACTCACAGCATGTGCAGCGCCGAACACCGCAGTTTGTAGCCAGACGCGACTCAGGTGTCGATGCCGCTCGCTCCAATGAAATTCAAGATCATAGGGAGGTGAGGAAGGTCGTCAACCACCATCTGAGATCAAGGATGTTGACGAAGAAGACAATCCAGCGTACATGAGGTCAGGCGACGCCGAAGGGAAAACTGGCCGCGCAATGTTCGGGTGCGGATTGTCAAGTCGTTGGTATCCTCTGGTGTGCCAGTCACGATATTGCCATGTATAAAAGGATGCATAGGAGACCGGCTTGGAGAAAGAATCCAGAATGGCTGTCACGAGGCCAATACACTTCGAAGTGGTAGAACCTGCGCCATTCCCGATAGGTTGATGTGTTATCCGGAGCTGGTCCCAAGGTGGAGTCGGCGACAGGTTGCCACGGACCTGGTACATAAACTCGAATCCATTCAACTCTTGTGTTTGCAGGGCCATTCACGATGTCGTACTCAAAGTAGCGCGGGACGGGCCATCTGTCAGTACCAAATATTGTCGAATTGAACATAACAACCGAATAGGCCTCTATGAGACAAAATGAGTCTGCGAAAGCATGGACATGGAGATAGCACAACACAAGACAAGGCAACTCAAGACCAAGCAGCAAGCGAATCGGACCACGTTGGCACGCAGTAGGCTCAGTGCCACCGCGTGTTTCCAGCAGCATTGACATGAATGCAAGTAATCAATCAAAAGGCCGTAGGCAAAGCACTAAAGCTGGAAGACTCAACAAGCGCAATGTTTTAACCAACATTCTGTCCAAGCGTCAATCAGACTCGTTCCAATCAAAATTGGGATCATAGCTCGGCGGGGGAGAAGGTTCACGCCACGCGCCATCCGGAACTGAAGACGCCGACGAGGACGAAACTCCATCAGACACGAAATCTGTCGATCCAATATATGGACGTGGGACACCAAGGCGTTGATAGCCACGCGTGCGCCAATCCCGGAATTGCCATATGTAATAGGACGCGTAGGAGACGGGCGTAACATTCGGGTCCGCAGTGGTGCCTCCGGTGCTGTCACGGGGCAAGTACACGTCAAAGTGGTAGACCCTGCGCCATCACGATATGTGGAGGTAGATGTATCAACAAAGCATGTAGTGTACTGCGGCAATGATTCACCGCCGCTGATGACGCGCGCATCTGCAATGGAAATGTCCTGGTTGACGTCGCACACAGGGGGAAAGACACTTCCGTCCATGATGTAGGAAGGCATGGCAGTAATGCTTGCATCTTGTAGTTCTGGACCGTGTTGT